CGAGGAAAGAGAGAATGCAGTTTAAAGAACAGGCAGGAAAACAGAAACAACTGTGGACAGAGTGCACATAGTGAAAATGAATCAAGTTCATCATACATATTGTAAGTGTACACTGTTCTAAAAGGTGTGTGCAAAAGTATCACCACCTTACCGTTGTGTGACATGCCAACATTGAGACACTTCTGGAAGCGACAGTATTGGCATTTGTTGCGGGACTTCTTGTGAATGCGACAGTGGAGATCACAGTGATCATACACCAACTTTAACCTGATTGTGCGTCTGAAGAAACCCTACAAGAAAGAAAGTGACAGACAGAAGCCTGAGATATTGTCACTGTAGATGTCTTTTTTTTTTTTGTTACATGTACGCTACTCTGCTACTTCTGTTCCTTTTCTAAGAACTGGTAAGAGATTTGTGCTGTGCCAGTGCAGGAAATATGCACGGACTTATTTTAATGTAACTGTTTTCTTCAATTGCATTAAGAGACAAACTGTACTGTGCTGACAAATAAGACAATGAAAGTATGACCATACAAAGTAGGAAAGCAAATTTTAAGATTTTAGTGAAAAAATATATTTCAAGTAGTATATGTTCCTTATGAATACTGAGAATATTTATACCTCAATAGAACTTAATGATAAAGGAAAAGATGAGACTTTACAGAAAAGACAAATTAAATCCAAATTTTCCATAAAAGCATACAAATATCATTTTAATTATTTCTACTTGAATATTAATAGTGGTCTGATTCAAGTTACTCTTTGGTAAAGCAGCACAAAGTATCTATTAACTGACAGACCCAGAATAGATACCTGGTTCTTTCTCTATGGAAATCAATCATACTGCCCACAAGTAAAAGTTGACTTGTGCTTCAGAGTGGATTTGTACTTTGGTGTTTTCAACCTTAGGACCAAAGGAGCCATAACACTTGTGCTTATCTCAGCTATTAACTATGCAGCCATGGTCAAACTCCTAAACACACACTCCTACATACAGTCACTGGTCTGTTGATGGATGTGCTTACTAAGAAAGCTAACAGAACAGATTAAAAGGGAAAACCTGAAGTATGTACATTTTAAGAGGAGAATTGTATTTAAGTTTTAATATAAGTATGAAAATCCACATCTAGATATTGTAGCTGGAGGCTGGTGTGTTTGGCATCTACATTCCTATAATCCACAGATGTAATAGTAGGTTATTTAAAGAAGTAGGAAGTTAAAGAGGATCAAGCCTCCACCTCAATAGAGAATGTTTTCCCTTTTTGAAACAATTAAGTGTTTACCTGCTTGGCTGACCCCTCTTCTGGTAAATATCCCCTGAGACTTTAGCAGAACAATGACTACTGTACCTTACCATCATTCAACCTCTCAAGATATAGTGATTTAGACTATAGTGGACAGAAAAACAGAAACCTTTGTTCATTGTAATGGATCCAACCCAACAACCCTGACAGTGTCAGAGAGGTGCCGAGTGATCTTCACGGCAATGTTCAAGTGGCTGTGTTGCACTGATTGTACACTGTCAGTCACTGTTAAAACCTTTGCATCTTAATCATATAAATTAGACTTTCAAAATAAAACAATAAAAAACAGTCCAATACAACAATTCTACAGCGAAAAGTCTCAAAACTGATAATATAATGTGTCAAACAACAGAAGCAGTAATATCAGCAAAATGATAAGCATTTTAAAGGCTGACAAACTTTTGTTTATTGTCTAGAAATTCCATGAAAAGACCGAAACCAACAACACATTTGTTCATCTCACAATACTTTCTGACTTCCCTGCAATGTCTGCGGCTCTAGGCACTGTAGGCACTCATTCCTACTGCACACGTTAGTCTTTTAGTCACTAATGTGCTTTAATTAAAAAAAAAAGGCTAAAAGCTTTCCTAAAACTGCTGGGCACTATAGTATTAATAAAGTGTTACTCATACAGAAGTAAACACAGTGTAGTAGCTTTTCACACTAATTTGTATGGAATGATTTAAGACCTGTGAATACGTCTTGGAACCACACCCACAGTAAAAATACATACATATACATAGTATCGATGCTGTTTCTTGACATCCATCACACATGAGGACAATGTCACAATTTATAGCTACTCTTCTTATAACGTCTCACTAGTTCAAAGAAAGTGGAAATATGTGTGAAACCTCCCCCATACTCTATTAGTTATTTATACTCTATACAGACAGACAAACTGAGCTTATCTGAAGAAACACAAGCCTTTGTTGAGACCTTGCAAAGTGGAAAATGTATGGGGCTTGTGGTTAGAGTGACAGACATCAAAAAGATTCTAAAAAGTGCACCCTTCTCTCCATGCATTATACAATTATTTATTCCACCAACATGTTTCACCCAAGAGTGACACTCGGTGACAGAAAAAGGAAGACTGGCAGAGAAACAAAACTGCTATTCGCAGCTGCCTTTACCATTTCCTGACATGACTCTCTGGTGGTATGACTGGGTTTTTTTTTTTTTGAGACCAACAAGCTATTCATTTGCTATTTCTGTACACTTAATTTAAGGCACAACTTGTATTTCTAAAATGACTGGAAGTCAGATAAGTCCTTAATCGACAAGAGAAAAGGCATGAACAGCAGGCAAAAGTATGCACTTGCAACAATGCAGAAGCCTTTAGAGCTCTAAAGAGGCCACACTGGTGCCAAAACGCAAGCTTTTGGAATAAAGTCTCTGTTGCATAACTGTCAGATTGCTCCTGCCATTTTGCAAACAGTGTTTCTTACCTACTGTTTATGATTACATATTGTGCACCTCCCTGCAGTGTGAGAGCATTATAAGAGGAAAAAACACACTCTGTCAGAAAGATTCCTCTGCAAAATGAGGACTGGTTGTAGTGTGTCCACTCATTCTAACAAAGAATAAACTGCTGTTTTAATTGTAATAAACTTTCAGGTTTTAAACGACTTAAGCCCCACAAGTCTAAGAGCAGTTTGCTCAGGGTGATGTGCAGCGCAGAGCTGAATCAATCACTTGATGTATCAATCGACAAAAAACTTCTTTGATAATTGATTCATTCATTTAAATCAAGCTATAAGTAACATAACTTTGGTCTAGCCTCTAAATGGTGAAAAGGTGGTGTTTGTCTTTTCTGTTAGTGCATCAAATTGCTTTAGGTTTAAAACTGTTGATTGGGCAAAACAAAGATACATTCATCTTAATAAAATAAGAACCTAATTTGCAGATTGGTTAATAATGAAAGCAGATGTTAGTTGCAGCTCTACTCTGGTGAAATCTAGGGTTTTAAACACTGCTTATGTACTCTCCGCCAGTTTGTTATGCATCTTAGTTTCATCTTTACTCATGATATCTTTCAGTCCTACCTTACAGCCCTCACAGGCATGGACACCATAGTGAAACCCAGAGGCTTTGTCTCCACACACACGACACTCAATGTTTAGGGCTGCTGTTGAGGTATCATCCTGGATCTTGGAGAACACAGGACTGTCTGAGTACTGTGGAGGTGACTCTGGCTCCATCTTGATTGAATCTGCTACAAGAAACATCAGGCAGCTAGGACAGGCGGTAGCCAGACTTTCTTATTATACTGTAAATCTTAAACCCACTTTCAACATTAATGCTCAGTTGGTTAAACCTGGTTTCTTCAAATGTGCATCCAGTATTTTCTAACTGGCTATAACTGCTATTCTGGTGTTTTAAGCACAAACAAATCGATAGTTTGACCAAATTTCCACTTAATATGGTACAAATGAAGCACTGTAACAATAACACTTTTTCATGCAAGGACCTAAGCAGCTACTTAGGTTCTACATCCTGCAAATGAATTTCAAAGAAGATAAAAAGAAACTAGGTAATGCATTTGCTCTTGTTCTACCATCACACAAACTGGACTTACTATACATGTTCCGCTCTGTCCTGTAGCTGTGCATGTGTATGTAGTCCATGTTGGTCAGATGTTCTTCACTCTGCGGTGGGCTGGGGTCATAGGGCATACCAGAGGAAGAGATGGAGGATACAAGTGATGGAGACAAGGAGGAATGGACAGAGGAAGAGGAGATGGAGGCATAGTCTAGCGTGGACAAATGCTTCATATTGAGGCAGTGGGAGCTGTCTTCCAGGTCTGGCAGGTCCACGGCGCTCAGACTGAAACCGACAGGCCAGGCTAGGAGCTGCTGGGTGTCCACCATGTCTGCTGTAGAAAGAGATGAAGCAGTGACACGTTAGCTGATGCAGTATGGTTTGTTGACTGTATGTGGCCTTGTTAAAAGAAAACAACACAAGAAGTACTAGAGAGAGGAGGGGAGGAAGAGGAAAAGTTGGAGAGAAAGGGAGGGTAAGATTAAAAAAAAAGAGTAGAGACAGAGGAAAGGAGAAAGAAAGATGACAACAAAAATATACATAGACAAACCCAAATGCAACATTGTACATTTTGTTAATAACTAAATATGTCACTTCAGAAAAGTCTAAAACAGAAACCGTGCACACACACTCCCATACAAACACCATGATGAATATCCTCACTCCTTCAACTTGTTCCTGCAGTCTGTCTGTTATCTAGCAAACACGGAGGCAGATTGTGTCACATGGAGTACAAGACGAACTCTGGCACTAAGGAACGTCTCCTCTGTTCAAAACACTGTCTTCCTCTGTTGCTGTTTGGGTGACTTGCCTCTGTGATTGCCCAACCAAAGGACGCAGAGTGTGGGACAGTCTGAGGCTGAGTGGAGCGACTCAGTGTGCTGAAAAGTGTTACCGACTGATAATTAAGAATTGGGTTGACACTGAAAATTGCCTTGAAACACTGTTTTGGTTATTGTGTTTAAAGTCTTGGAATATTAGGCTGTGTGTTGATGTAAATGAACAAAGGCTCTTTGGTCATTCCAATATCTAACTCAAATGGTCAGACATTGGAGAAGAGAAGTCAGCTGAGATGGTCAAAGTCCAGTCATCAGAGGTTACTACAGTCTAAACATAAGCAATCCACATACAAGGGTCTATAATCAGGGATAGGTTTGTAGTGGAATATGTTGCTTTTAAAGATGTATTTAATTTTCTAAACTACAGCCCCTACACAAAAACTTAAGAAACTAGTGGCAGAATGAAAAGATTCTTAAAAATAAGATGACATAATGCTAGCAAAGGTTTAAGGAAAGCTTCACATGAAAACAACAAAACCAACAATGCATTTGTTTGTCTCTTAATACGTCAGTCTTCCCAACCTTGTGGCACTGAACTCTTAGTGAAGATGTAAATAAAAATGGGTCACAAATATCTAGTCTCAGCTTTAAAATAGTCTAAACTAATCTAAATTTACTTCAACGGGATGGTGCATGTGAATCAACTAAAGTAAAGTGCCCATGTTCATCAAATCACCCAGGGCAAAGTGTGTACTGGTGTGCTTTCTGGCACAAAATAATAAACTATAAGTGGATTTGGAAACACAAACAACATCTGTTAGTTAGATGACTTGCTGTTTTCACAGGGTTTGCTGACACAGAGAAAAATCTAGAACATCATCTGACTTATCCTTTAAAATATTACAAATCTTGAAATCTTTCCATGTGACATTTGAAAGTAGAACATCTCTGTCTTTCTAAATATCAGTACTGGAAACTACTGCATTTACGTTTCCCAAGCTTTTTTTTTTTCAAGAGGGAGGAAGCCATGCTTGAATTCTGACCTTGATTTAAAATATAGAAACTCTGAAAAGGAAAGGAAAAACCAGTACCAGTTTATAAATAATCAATAGAGTAAAAGGTCTCTGCACTGAACCAGCTTGGCAGACAAACAACCTTTTGTAACCAACAGCGATTCTCTAAATAAACGTCCTCTAATCAACATCGACTGACGCTCCATCTGAAAAAAACAACAACAAAGAATACAACAAATTATGCAACAGGACAAAACCAAAATAGCAATACTCAGGTGGCACAGTAGCACCTGGTATAAAAATGGCTTGAAATGTCTCCAAATTACTTGGCAAAACATTTCTGTGGAACAAACATCCTCCTCGCTACTACTTATTGTTTCCTTTTAACTTGATTGGAATGTGGCAGAGAAAATCAGTAGGGGATCCACTTAAAATTTGGCTGTGACATTGTTTCAGAAAAAGAGTGTTTGTGTGTGTGTGTGTGTGTGATGGAGCTTCCACCACCTTGCAAGCTGTTGCAGGGGGAAACACTTACTATTAATAACCAGATACACCTGGTTATTTTTCCATTTGTTGGCCAGTTGCCAGCCAATAAAGCCGAAAATAGACGGAGCACTGGAGCCATTTATGCACTGGTTGGCATCCAGGTATATGGAAACAGAAATGTACTGGGAGAGAAAGCTCTAGAGATGAAGAGTAAGAGAGATGAAGCGAGAGGGGTGACAGAGAGCAAACCCTACAACCACTTCATAAAATCAAAGGCTTTAAGAAAAACTCCTTATCTTAGGAAATTCATGCTCTGTACTCACCACAACTTGTAAAGAAAAAAAGGATGGCAGCTGCAGCCTGGCAGTTAAAACCAAGGTGCTTAAATCATGTTGTAATCAAAAGGTGAAAACAAGTTTGTACTGTAACTTCTCCCCCGAGAGCATTCATGGAAATGTTGTAGTACAAAATCCACTGAATCGAACATGTTTGTATCTGCACGTGATGTGTGGGCAAACAACCTGCCAAGACATTATGAAAGGCGACAGATGATTAGTAAGGCTGATGCAGCACCATGTCTGCTGTGTCTGAAAGGTTGTCTGTGTGTGTGTGTGAGCATGTGCGTGACGGTTGTACTGCTGTCTCCTGCCAGTTCTCAGATTTCCACATGTCAGAACTTGTCTTCCAGGTAAGAGTACAGTGTGTAGGAGTACTTTCTAGCAGCTATTGCCTCAGTCATGACATAATAACAAAAGGCCAACGGCAAATTGCCAGGCAGGTCTGTCAAGCTACCGTAACTGTGAGCCAGCCTAAAACTGTGAGTGACATACAGCGAACAGCAATGAGAGAAAGAGCAAGCCGGCACAAAAGCTGGATTATTAGATAAAATGACAATACTGTAATGTTAGCAAAGCGGTAATAAGGCTATTCTCACAGCCTGAAAGCAACAGTCTAGAAAAAGAGGTGAAAACCAAGAGGTCAAAGAGAGAGATGTGAAATCTTTCCTTCAGGGACAAAGTTGCAAAACAAATGAAATGTTTTTCAATGTTCATATTTCCTCACAACAGCAACAAGTCGGTCCAAAACGGACTGAAGCAAAGGCTGGGGATCAGATTACTGCACAGAAGGTGGCCGAGATCCTTTTTATATCATTGGAAGGGTAGTTTTGTTAAATTCACAGATTTAGCTTTTTATCAGCCTGTATACAAAAACTCCAAAGGGAAAAACAATGAAACAAATTTCAACAAAAACTAAATGCTCACAATGATTAAGCTCTACTGTCAAAAAATATCCATCACTTTTTGCAAGGGTGTAGAAGCCTCCTATACAAGTGATTAAACAGTCAGGAAAAGAAACTGTGCAAAGTGAAAAGTAGTTTAGGATACGACAGAAGTCCACACAGAAGTTGTCTGGTATATTAAGTAAAGTGAGATACAAAAGGCCGAACCTGTCCTGCTGCATTCACAGACATCAACAGCAATCCTGTCTGTTTCAGGAAAGCTGTTCCCTCTCGGAGGGTGAGACCTACACCACTAATGTCAAAGCAGGCAGTCGCTCAACCAAAAGGGCTGCTAGAAACACATTTTGATATGCGAACTTATTTTTTTGGGAACCGACCGGGCCACTAAATTAGGAACTCTTCAGAACAATGCATACAAAGGTAAATAACATACTGCGGCTGTGGCTCAGGAGGTAGAGCGGGTTGTTTCCTAACCGGAGGATTAGCGGTTCGATTCCTGGCTTGTCCAGTCAACATGTCGAGGTGTCCTTGAGCAAGACACTGAACTCCCGGTGATGTCACCGGTGTGGGAGTGCGAATGGGTGAATGGCCGAATAATGTGAAAGCGCTTTGAGTGTGCTGTAAAAAGCATAGAAAGGCACTATACAAGTATAAGACCATTTACTTTTGATGATGTTTGGACACAGTAGGTTTTTCATAAATAACTAAGTGAAGCTAACTGCAAGAAACAAATATAAAGTTGCACTCTCTTAACTTGACTCTGTGCCAAATTTAGCTCAATGTAACACTTGACAAGCTTTTGTTTGCTGCTTTTATAACATCTTGAAGACAAAATGACATGTTGCAGAGTATTTCCGCTGTAGAGGAAGGTGTGGTTTTCTTTTTCTTTTTTTCCACAATTAATTATTTTTAATATGACACTCGTATGATTGTGTGTGTGTGTGTGTGTATGACACATGCAGTGAGGGGGAAAGTTAGTGTTCAGAGCTCTGTGACTTCCTGACCTCGTCACGTAAAACAGCATGTGGTTCAGACATGTCCGCCTGCAAGTCTGCCTGACAGTCCCCGCAATTTCTTTGAAAAGGTGAAGTGTGTGGACACTGGTAAAATCGTGTGGTGTTTGTAAGCAGTTGAATTTACTAAATGAGATGGTGATCAGGCAGTCATTGCCACCCATTAAAAGTACAGTATTTTAAAAGTTGCATCTAGAATAAATGCTAAAAAAGCTGATATCCTGCTTCACTCTTCAGGAAATTAGCACTTTTTTCAGTTTTTTTTGTCTTTGGTGGTGTGAAGCCACCACAGACAGAATTACCTGTAAAGGGCCTTCCCCCTCTGCATTTAAATGATGAAACAGGAGAGTAATGGAAAACCAAGTGCGCCCAAAGTGTCAGCTAGAGGTCTGGACTGCCCTCTCAACAGAAATGAGTCTCTTTGTGTCTAAAAACCCACTTGCTCAGTTGGTACTGAATTTACTCATAAAACTTCAAAGCTCAAGGTGGGAGGTTAGAAACCACATTCTCTTTCTGCTTGGCACAGCTCTGAGTAAAACAGTACCCAGACAACCTCTCTCTGATTTCGACTCAATTTTTCTGTAATTTCTTTCTTTCAGGTTCCAAAGCTAGGAAAGTGCAGCGCTGATAAGCAGGTCAACCAGAGGTCAGATCGAAGAGGAGGCAAAGCTTCTTACAAATGCACATAAATCTAAGAATCATTTTCTGTATTTTAAAAAGCAGCTATATACTATATATATATATTTTACAAATATGCCCACACCATGTTTCAGTTATTACACAGTTGAGGATATTCTTCAATC